ATCTGCAAGACACTCTGATGATAAAGTGAGAGACAGAATGAACATGCAAGCAAGTATATTGGTGTGTATGAAATGAATACCTGACCCTCTCGAAATAGAGAGTATTTATAGCCCCCAGCGTTGGGCCAAGGTCCCTTTATTGGGCTGACCAAACATGCCCAACAAAGGGACTGCCAGGTTCTACGTGTGTAATGGGGATTTGCACGTGGTCCCCTACCTGGATGATGCTCTCCGCAGAATAGGGAGGGTGAAGACGCGATCTTTTCAGGATCCTGAGGACTCCGAGATATTCGGAGAGGTTGAGAGTCTGCCCTACGAGGAGGGTGCTCGAGCAGGGCTTGGATTGGGATGTTTCTCGTTTGAGACGTCCCTCATCGGGGACACTCTTCGCGGTCACCGGCGGGCACAATTATGTTCGATCAGTCACTCATAATCGAGATGTGTCGGGGAGTCTAATGCTCAGCATGGTATATTGTAAAGCTTGGATTGGGCCTCGCTGGCGATTGGGCCACGGGCAGGCCCTGTTCAGAACATAATCTGTATATGGTACATCGATTTGGATGAGGTAAAATAGTCATATGTTATATTATTGGGTCAGTTTGAGTAAAATTACAAATTTGTAGATTGAATTGAATTATAATGGATGGTCCAATTTCTTTTTGTTATATAATTATTAATGATTTATCATATTTTTTCCTTAATAAATAGTTCAACATATTACATTATTTTTCAAACATCAAATATCTAAATTCACGATAAAATTCATTTATATTTACAAAATCCAAAGTTACACTACAATATTATTTAGAATTGCACAAAATATATGCGACTTACAAGAATTAGCATTAAAATAATCAAAATACAACATCCTAAATAAGTTAAAATAATTACTTATAACATAAAGATGTTAAAAAAGTTGAAATCGAAGCAACCAACATTAAAAACATCAAATTCGTCACTCATTAAATTATAAAAAAGAGACAAAAATAGTCACTCAATAACCATAGATTTTGTGGATTGAGTGTGAATTTACCTATAACCCAATTATGTTCATGGATTTTTCAATTTTGAAAACTGTATTCATCCAATATTCGACCCAACCCACTTTTTTGGATCGGTTTGAGTGAGTTTTAATGAATTTGTTGGGTTTATCCAACTCATATATACTCTTACTCAGATACTTCCTCTAATTACTATATAAATAAAAAATTAACCTTAAATTTTTATTATTATTAAAACAAAAGTCATTAACTTTTTTATTAATTAATGTTTATATTACTATTATATTCTTAATTTAATTTAAAAATATTTAATATTAATAGTTGATTCATTAAATATAATTAAAATTATTATAATAAATTTTACTTTGATTATACATGAAATTAAAAAAATTAATTATATTTAACTAACCTTTTTTAATTTGAGTAAAAATAGTCATTTTGACTTATAATTATGAACGGAATGAATATCTTCTATACATCATTTTAGAGATTAATTTTTCCAATAAATACTGCTTATGATATTTTGGAGTAAATAAATTTACTGTTTTATTAATATTTCAAGTATGTTTATTTATTATAATGACTCGTATTTAAAATAATTGATTAGACCAATTCTAATAAGAGATAATACTTGAATATAAAATAAATTTAATTAAATAAATTTTATTATTATAATTTACATTCATATCTCAGCCTGTTTATCTATAATTAAATAAATAGTGGTGAACGGAGATATCGAACTCAGCACAAACCTTTTTAGAACGGATTTGAATTTTAATTTTTTTATTTCGATTCAAATTTAAGGTATTATTTAGAGATTTGAGTTTGGAGAGATAAAAAGCATCCCAGACTCAATCCGATGCCATATAACCTCTCAAAATCCAAACCCAAGACTCATCTTTGTTTGTTTTCACTTTTTCATCAGACAAAGCGGTTTCAAAGACACACAGAATCCAGAACAAGAATCTTAAAACCTGTTCCTTTTTATTTTCTTGCTATGTTAATGCGTCACCTTCACAAATCTGACTCTGATATCGGAAAACAACATAACCTCAACCTCTCTTCCGATTTATCTCAAAATCAAACCCATTTTTCAATCCAAGTTACACCTTTTTCTTCTCCAAACTCACCAACGCTCTTTCATTTTCACAATCAACAACGCTTCTCCAATAACAACCCATCTCAAACACCTCCACACAAAACCTCACCCTTTACCTCAAAGTTTACAACTTTGAAGATTTTAACTCGTTTACATTTCATCATCTTCCTTTCCTTAACCTCTCTCTACTTTCTCATTTCAAACCCATCTCTTCTAGATTTCGTTTTGGTCCTCGTTTTCTCTTCAGCGCTTTTTGTTTCTATCAACCTAGCACTCCCTCGTTTACCCTCTATAAGATTGTTCTTCACACGCTCCTTTACCAAAAGCCTTTCTTCAACTAATTCTCATCAACCTGTTATATGGTCAATTGGGTCGAAGCATGAGGAGTTAAAGAGCTTAAATTCCGGATCTTGGGTTCAAGTTTATAGTAACGGTGATGTTTATGAAGGTGAGTTTCATAAGGGGAAGTGTTCAGGGAGTGGTGTTTATCATTTTCATATGAGTGGAAGATTTGAAGGTGATTGGGTTGATGGGAAGTACGATGGGTATGGCGTCGAAACGTGGGCTAGAGGAAGTAGGTATCGTGGACAGTATAGGAAGGGTTTGAGACATGGAATTGGAATTTATAGGTTTTTTGGTGGTGATGTTTATACTGGTGAGTGGTGTAATGGTCACTGTCATGGGTTTGGAGTTCATACTTGCAGTGATGGGAGTCATTATGTTGGGGAGTTTAAATGGGGTGTCAAACATGGACTTGGCCGGTACCATTTCAGGTTAGTTTTGAAGTTTACAATTGTTTGTTCCTTATCATAGTGGTTCCTGTTTGATTTGTTCTGTTGTTGTTTTCTGGATTGGATAGGCTCTATGTAGACTAGTTGCAGTTTAGCCACTTTAACTATAGTTTTATAGTTTAACTGCAACAAACCTTTTATGAGGCCTTTTTAGTTATGTGACAAATTTTAGACTATGTGCGTTAACCTGCTTTGCACGCCAACATTCGCATTTGAGAAGTTAGGGGGATATTAATTCGGCTTTATTATGCTTATATGTCACATTCTGTTGCATTAGGTCTGCATGATAGATTTGTATTTTACTCTGATGTTCGGTCAGTTATTGATACTATTTACTGTCAAAAACCAGAAGGATTGGTCTAGTTTCTCTTTGGAAGGAGGTTTGACAGCTATTTTAATGTTATTATTGCAGAAATGGAGACATATATGCTGGAGAATATTTTGCCGACATGATGCACGGCTTTGGAGTTTATCGATTTCAGAATGGTCATCGATATGAGGGTGCGTGGCATGAAGGAAGAAGACAAGGACTAGGAATTTACACATTCAGAAATGGGGAAACACAATGTGGCCACTGGCAGAATGGGATTCTTGATAATCCTAAAAGACAAGACAATCATATTGAGTCTCCATGTGCTGTAGACCATGCCAAGGTTTCCAAAGCTGTCCAGGTAATAGTTGTTTTCGGATTTTTGCGCGCATATGATTGAACCATACATGTAATATTGTTCATCGAAACAGTTCCATAATTATGAGAAATGTTATATTTAGTACTTGTTTCATTTTGAACAGGACGCTCATTATGCGGCGGAGAAAGCATCCAGTATATCAAAGATGGATGAAATGGTGAACAAAGTAGCAGCTGCAGCTAATAAAGCTGCAAATGCAGCTAGAGTTGCAGCTGTAAAGGCTGTGCAAAATACAATGCACCACAATAATAATAATCAATGAATGATGCTCGCTCATGTGATGATTGAAGAGCATTTCGTCTTTCGTTCTCCATCATAGGTTACATTCAGAACAGTGCTGTTAGATATGAGTAAGCAAAATGAATATAAGGAAGATGAATCATAGAGATACAACAACAACCAAGCCGATCCCACTAACTGAGGTCGGCTACATAAATCAACTTCTGGCATAATATTTTATTCAGCTTCTATTCAAATCAGCAATCGTGAGATCTTTCTTGATATCTTCTCTTGCAGTGAGGTGCCTACTTGGAACCACTTTTTGTGTCATTGAACTCTATGGCAGATTGTGGAGCAAATAGATTCCTCACTTTTAGTGGCTTATTTTCTGATTATAGGAAGGGTAAAGACTAAAGATAATATATACTATAGAGTTGCATTGTGTATGGCATAAGTGCCAAAGAATTTACCAAAGTTTAGTATAGTGTAGGATTTACATGCTGGCTTCCTGTTATATAATAGTATGTTTGGTTTTAGGCAAGAGAGTGCTTATGCTTCTTGGTGGAAATACAAATGTTTGGTTGCTGTCATATAAAAGTGATTTTACTTCTAAATTTTGTAATAAAAAATGATTAGATTTAGTATCTAGTTATCTACTTTAAGGAAGCAAACATAAAATCTCAAATTTCTAAGTCTCTAGAAAGTTGTCATGTCTTAAATCTTTGCAATCCTTCAACCTCTAGATTCTCTAGAATTTCGATGCTTAAAAAAACTCCTAATTTTCTTTGGAGGAAAAAGAATCTCTGATATTTCTTTTATAACTTCAATAAGCATTCAATTTCTTGAACAAACTCTACAAACAACTTTACCAAACTCAAACTCAGAAAAGTTAAATTCAGAAGGGGTTTTGAGAAGCTTTTGCGAGAGAAAGAGAGGGAGGAGAAAGTAACAAATGAGAGTTCTATTTATACAAGTGAATTGTATACAAGTGAAGCTTGAACTAAAACAAATGCTAAAAACAATTAAAAAATGAGTTATTGATTCAAATCAATAAAATCTAGATTTGAATCCATCTCACTTAAAATAATTTTGGGTCAATAAAATCTAGATTTGAATCCATCTCACTAAAAATAATTTTGGGTTTTTGATAGTAAAATTTGATTCACTTGAAGAATGAATCGATTCAGATGAAGATTGTTCAACATTCATGTGATTTTGGTATACATGGTTCGGTTCAAATTTTGTCAGATTAGATTGAAGGGTGAGAAAACACTTTGAAGGGTGAGTCAACAGTTATTTTTATCCTGGTTCGTTTGAACTCAAACTACTTCAGGCCACCCGCCAAGGTGATTTCGCCTTTCTCAACAAAGACTTAATTCACTATAATCAAACAGATTACAATCACACAACCAAACTGTTGTGATCAACAATACAAAGCACAAGTAAACTTACAAGTGACTAACACCACTAAGACTCAAACTAGTCCTAGCCTTCTTGAGAAATCTGACCAAACTTGGTCTCTCAAGGAACAAATACAAGAATTAAATCTTTACAATAGTGAAACAAATTGCTTCTTAAAAAGCTATATCACAAACTGTGATTTATCACTAAGATAAGTTTTGCACTTGAGAAAATAACAAAGTGTTTGTAAGAAAATAATTTGTGAGCAGCATAATAATTTTCACGTAAGATGTTTTTTTATAGTTTTTTTTGGTAGTTGGCTTGCAATAAATGATCTTTTATTTATAGCATGAGGAAAACGACTGTTACTACTTTCAAAAATGAGGAGCAATTAATGTTTGCGTGTTAGCTTGCATTATTGTTTTTTTCCAATGAACTAGCGTAGAGACACTTGAGTGATTTAGCCGTCTTTGCATTAAATGAACAAATGGCACTGTCAGAGCTTGTTTTCTGAAACTTGACAAGACAGTTTGCTTCTTTAATCTTTCAGAACTTGTTTCAGATCTTGCTTTAGAATTTGCTTGCAAATAACTTCTCATCAGAGCTTGCTTGCAAAATATTTCTGAACAGAGTTTGCATGAAAACTTGCTAAGATTAGAGGATGCTTTAAATTGCTTCTTATCAGAGCCAGCGTCAGAACTTGCTTTAAATAAATAGTTCTTTCATCAAAGAACTTCTTCATTTTTGTTCAGCTCAGCACGTAAAATGATTTTCACCTTAGAAAATACTTCAGTCAGAACATTATCTGAAACAAAGAAATATGCTCATCATAGTATCAACTATACAAAATATATTTTATTGTTATCATCAAAACTCTGAGATATGATCAGAACCAAACTCGTTCTAACAATCTCCCCCTTTTTGATGATGACAAAAATATTCAGGTTTTGAAAAAAAAATTGAACAAGAGATAAGAATCTCCCCCTGAAATAAATATTTCTTTTTTTTTGAAAAAAATAGATGTATAAGAAAAACTTCCTGAGATTTTTCTTCAGAGTTTTGAGATTTTTCTTTTAGGATTTCTTCAACAAGTCTTTTGAAGAAGATGTTCAGATGATTAAACTTCCAAAGTTTAGTGATACCTGCAAAATTCTTTAAACAGAGAAAGAAATCTTTGTATTTTGTTAGTAATGTTTGATACTTAGTCTCATAATTGTTAATCAAAGATTAGATCAAAATACTCATTTCTCCCCCTTTTTGTCATAATCAAAAAGTATAAAAAGAATTAAAGAGCGTAAAAGGTTTTTATAAAAAGATTCAGAGGTACAAAACAAACCAAGAAACTAGAAACATAATGACACTTAAGATTTTCTATAAACAAGAGACAAAAGAAGATTCTTGATTTCAGATGAAGATTCCTCTTGCTTCATCATCCAGTTTCTGATTTCCTTGTTTGTCTCATCCTGCTTGTCCAAGCGCTCATGAATAGCTTCATTTTCCTTCTTAAGCTCATTCAGAGTATCCATAACCAGTGAAGTAGGAGCAGAAGATGAAGTAGCTTCAGCAGATATAACCTTTGGTGTAGAAGCAGCTGAGTTCGAACGAACAACATTTGAGAGAATATTTCCCAGATCAACCATAAGAGTTGGCACACCTTCTGGTGTAACTTTAGAAGAAGGTTAATTAAACAGAGTTATTTCCATAGGATTTAAATCTTCAGAGGCATCTTCAGACTCATCTTCTGAAATGTCCATTTGATCAGCAGGAGCATTGGCAATCAGCAAAGTAGACTTCTTGTCCCAAGTATCAACAAGTTCTGATTGGAAGGCATGCAAATGTTTGAAGAAATTCTCAAGCACCTGAGAATGACACATGTCTTGCAATTTCAGTGATTCATAATTTAATGTTCGTCTGAACGTTTCCCACAGAAGATCTGTTGCTGTTGGGTTCACGTTGCTGGTGCAGTCTGCCTTCAGCAGGTCTATCCAAGCTTGTACTTCTGTTATAAAATTCTGAAAACATACATTTACAACTGGCTGGACAGGTTTGGAAACAACCTTTTTGTAGGTTTTATTTTTCAGAAATTGTAGGGATTCAAAATCAACTACAGTTTTCAGAAAGTTAGTTGGTTCAGGAGTTTCTAATTGTTCAGGTGTTTCTGTTTGGTCAGGATTTTCAGATGGTTCAGGTGTTGTTGATGGTTCAAGAGTTTCAGATGGTTCATGAGATAGATTGAGGGTATATTCTGGAGATTGAGGAGGTGAAAGCGTTGGTGAGTTAGGTGTTGGAAGCTATAGAGATATGGGTGGTGTGGCGTCAGGAGAAATGATGATGGTGTTTTTAGCAGAGGGGTAGGATTTTGTGGTTGAGTTCTGTTCAGAGTAAAGATATTCTCAGAGGGTAGGGTGAAAGGTGGCTTTTGCATGGCCAGAGGTGCGTTTATTCCAGGTAGTCTCCAAGAGCCATCATACCATTCAGAAGGTCTTGGTGATAAAGGTCTGGGAGGTGTTTGAGAAAAGTTTTCAGCAGGATTATTTTGTGAGATATGTGTTTGAGATGGTTGTGTTTGAGTTTCAAGAGAGTCATCAGAGTTAAAATCTCTTAAGTCTGATAAAACTTGATTTATTAGAGGGTTTGTAGAAAGAGGTTCAGAAGGAATGGTTAAATCTATGTCTACATCTATGTCACATAATGTTTGAGGTTCAGTAGATGTAGATATATGTACAAAATCATAAACAAAAATAGTCCCAGAAAGTGTACCTGATTTCTTCTTCTTCTTCTTCTTCTTCTGGGGTCTAGCAGAGGGTCCTTCAATTACTTTCCTTTTCATTGGCTACTGGAAGACAACTAGGGATGTCAATGGGGCCGGGCCGGGCCGGGGGGACACTTCCCCATCTTTTTCCCCGCCATCAAATTCATTCCCCGTCCCCGTCCCCGATCTCCGTCACGGGAGAATTTCTATCCCCATCCCCGTTCCCCGCGGATCCCCGTTCCTCGCAGGGATCCCCATAGATCCTACATTTATTCATTAATATTTTTTTTTTTTAAAATATTTATATTTTCTATAAAAATAAAAAGCACAAAGAATTCACATATTTATTATGTTATTAAAAAATACTAGTATTTGACATTTATTATTTTTTATTAAAAATACTAATGGAACACAAAATAATAATATTTTTTTTATAAATTTCTATAAAATGCTATAAAATTCAACAAAATGAACTATAAATATATATATTAAATTAACTATATTAAAATAATAGGCGGGGCGGGGTCCCCGCGGGGCGGGGGGTGTATTCCCCGTCCCCGTCCCCGAAATGCTCTCGGGGGAATTTTTCTCCCCATCCCCGCCCCCACGGGGGAAAATTCCCCATCTTTGGGGTCCCGAACGGGGCGTTCCCCGCGGGGATCCCCATTAACAGGTCCAAACTGACATCCCTAAAGACAACATATGGAGCTGCTTCATTTCTACCTTGAAGCCAGGAAGGATCAATTGGAGTTCCACTTTCTTTGCAAATTGCAATGTAATGCAGAATGATACGAGGGTGATCTCTTGAGTTGAAAAGTGGAAAGTCAGCAATTGGAATTCTTCTTCTGGTAACGGTTGCTGATACGTAAGGGGTAGGTTCCACCAGCAGT